ATTTGAATTCCTACTAATTGTTAACTGTAGTAGACAATTAGTATAATACATAGGGTAAAGGCATTATAGTTAGATAGCAGGAAAGATTAATTAGAAATACAGCATTTGTGATCATTGTTGTTAATATTTCTATTAGGCTAGGCTAGCCATTTGCTGTGTTTAGTCTGACATTTATGAGGGCAATTTTAAAGAAAAAAAATGTAGTTGCTTTATTTTACTTAAGCATGAATCTTGAATTTCAATATCGAGCAGGTTTAGTTAATATCTTTTTTTTTTTCTTTTTTTTTGAGGCAGGGTCTTGCTTTGTCACCTGGGCTGGAGTGCAGTGGCGTGATAATGGCTTACTGCACCCTTGACCTCTGAAGCTCAACAATTCTCCTGCCTCAGCCTCCAGAGTAGCTGGGACTATAGACACATGCCCCGATGCCTGACTAATTTTAAAAAAATTTTTAGTATAGATGGGATCTCACTATGTTGCTCAAGCTGGTCTTGAACTCCTGAGTTCAAGCAATTCTGCTGCCTCAACCTCCCAAAGTGCTGGCATTACAGAGATCAGTTACTGCATCTGGCCACGTTAACATGTCTTCTCTTGTAATCAACTCATAACATTTGGATTAAACTAATGTGATTACCCTTAACCACAGAAATGCAAACATTCAGATTCATAACTTTCCTGATTGTTCTCTGTCAAAGACATTAGTTAGTATTGGTTAGAAGAATAACACATTTAGATTTGCACAGTTGCTGCTATTGGAAACATATTATGGTTACAAAATATTGCAAGAATATGTGACAACACTTAGGTTAGACAACATGAAGAACAATGGTATTATCAGGGTACAAAATATATATATTCTTGGCCATTCTTGTGGAATTAAGATAAACAACCACTTGACTTTGTTGAGTCTCATTCAGTCTTGAAATGGAGGGACTTTTTAGAAGGTCTGTGGAGAGCCTATTGACTGGCTAGCCTAGGAGACATGCTCAGCCCTCTTTTCCCTGCTATTTCATGCAATGGAGGCTGGAAAGCAACATGTTAACTTTTCCAGCATCCTTTGCAGCTAGGATTGGCTGCATGATTCATTTCTCATCAATGATCCATAAGATGGAGTCTATGGGGGAACTGTAGTGAAGTTTTGGTCTTCCTTATACTTTTGTCTTAAAGGTAAATGACTAGAGTGGTGGGAGTCAATTTGCAACCAGAGGCCACAAGCATGAGGACAAAAAACTAGCAGGGTAATCATGGCCAAGTAAATAGATACGATGAGCCAATATTGGCTCCTCTATTTGGCTTAACATAGGTTTGTCTCAATTCTTAGCCTTTATGCAGGCTACTTTTCAAAAGCAGGGTTCTACCACAAAACAACTCTTTTTTCCCCTGGCGATGATTCTTGTGCAGTTCACTGAAGTAGGCTTGATCCTGTCCTTTCTTCTCCAACTCAAATTTGCTCAAACCAGTATCGAGTGCCCCAAACTTATAGATCCCAAGAGTTCTTCTTAACTATGGACAAAACTTTGCCTGAGTTCTTGTTACAATACAAATACGTGGTCGAAAAAGGTACCTGTATATAAAGGGCTTTCGATGACATTGTTGAGCTGCTACACACCTCTTTCATGTTTGCCTTCCTCCAGTCTTTTAATTCTATAAGATGATTAACTTTATTATTTATGTAATGACTTGTCAGGCTTTTTTGCTGTTGTTTACTTGTGGCCAACAGTAGCTTATTCATATGGTTCTCTACCACTTTGAAGAGATACATCTGCAATGATCTGAACATCAAGTCAATTATCTATCAAAAACATCGTTCAAATGTACTTCCATTAGATTACTCTAACGCAGCACTATCCAACAGAACACTGATGAAGGAAACATTCATATAGAACACATATGTTTGTGTGATGAAGGAACATATGTGATCTATTTATGATATAGAACATAGTCATGTACCACAAAATGATGTGTTGCCCAATGATGAACTGCATACATGATGGTGATCCCTTAAGATTATAATGAAGCTGAAAAATTCCTATTGCCTAGTGACGTCATAGTTAAACGATTGTAATGTCATAGTGTAACCCATTACTCACATGTTTGTGGTGATGCTGGTGTATAAAAACTTATGTGCTGCCAGTCATTGAAAAATCTAGCACATACAATGATGTATAGTACAGAATATTTGATAATGATAATAAGCGACTATTACTGGTTTATGTATTTACTACTATAGTACACTTTTTACTGTTATTTTAGACTGTACTCCTTCCATTTATTAAAAAAAGTTAACAGACTCTGGCTATTCCTTCAGGAGGTATCCAGAAGAAGACATTGTTAACACAGTAAATGACTGTCCTATATGTGTTATTGCTTCTGAAGATCTTCCAGTGGGAGAAGATGTGGAGGTGGAAGACAGTGATATTGATGATTCTGACCCTGTGGAGGCCTAGATAATATGTGTGTTTGTGTTTTCGTTTTTAACAAAAAATTTTAAATGTGAAAAAAAATTTTAATAGAAAAAAACTTATAGAATAAGGATATAAAGAAATATTATATTTTGTGTAGCTGTACAATGTGTTTGTTTTAAGCTAAGTATTATCACAGAGTCAAAACGTTAAAAATAATTTAAAAGTTTATAAAGTAAAAAAGTGATGGGAAGCTAAAGTTAATTTATTATTGAAGAATTTTTTTTTCAATAAATTTAGTGTAGCCTAAGTGTACAGTGTTTATGAAGTCTACGGTAGTGTAAGGTGATGTCCTGGGCCCTCCATTCGCTCACCACTCACTAACTGACCCACCCAGAGCAACTTCCATTTCTATAAGTGCCCTATACAGGTATACTGTTGTTTATCTTTGATGCGAATTTTTTTATTTTTTATTGTTTTAGACGGAGTCTCACTCTGTTGCCCAGGCTAGAGTGCAGTGGCACGATTTTGGCTCACTGCAAGCTCTGCCTTCTGGGTTCATGCCATTCTCCTGCCTCAGCCTCCCAAATAACTGGGACTACAGGCACCCACTACCACACCCAGCTAATTTTTTTATTTTATTTTATTTTATTTTTTTTATTTTTAGTAGATACGGGGTTTCACCATGTTGGCCAGGATGGTCTCAATCTCCTGACCTCGTGATCCACCTGCCTTGGCCTCCCAGAATGCTGGAATTACAGGCATGAGCCACTGCGTCCGGCCAATACTAGCATTTTTTTAACCTTACCTTTTCTATATTTAGCTGTGGGTAGATAGACAAATACTTACCATTGTGTTATAATTGCCTGCAATATTCAGTACAGTAACATGCTGTACAGGCTTGTAGCCTAGGACCAACAGGCTATACCATATAGCCTAGGTGTGTAGTAGGCTATACCATGTAGGTTTGTGTAAGTACACTCTGATATTCACACAACGTTGAAATTGCCAAATGACACATTTCTCAAGACATATTCTTGTCACCAAGCAACAAGTGACTGTACAGAATACAGGGCTGCTGAACATTCAAAATGTGGCTAGTATTTTTGATGAAGTAAATTTTTAATTTTATCTTGCTTCATTAATTTCAATTGAAACAGCCAACATGTGGCTAGTGGCTATCGCATCAAGCAGCGCAGATATAAAGAATTGCTACCTATTAAAAAATATTTTAAGAGATTCCTGTAGTTCTCTTAGAAAATATTCAGCTTGTGACTTTATATATATTATTTCATAGGCCCAAGAACACCTCGTTATGGAGAAATGATGACTCAGCAGGGCTTTGCACAATGTCATGTTTGAAGGCTGTTAAACAATATTTAACTCGAATATTAGCTAACTAGGCAGAACCGATACCAATTTAAGCATTTTACATTGACAACTATAATAAAGGATGTCCTTTTGGAATAATAATCTTATTCAGACTACTCTTTCAGTTGTTTGTGAAGACTTTTGTGTTCCCAATTATGAATGAAAAGAATAATAATGGCATGCCAGTCTCATTAAGCCATGGGGGTACAACAACTCTCTCAGACAATCTATAAATTATCATTTGCACAAGACCGCTGAGTATGCTAGAAAATCAGCCACAAAGTGCGCCAACATGGCGCCGAGTAGTGGGAGACTGAGAGTGGGCAGCTAAAGATGCTCCAGGTGAAAGGAGAGGAGAAATGCATGCTGATTATACTAGACACTGGGGATCTGTGGGGCCATCACATCCTGGGACACGGTATTCAGTACTATCTCCTACACCCAAATGTGACTTGCAGAAATGATTCCATGATGCCTCCGTGTCTTGTGTCAAGCTAAATAATCAGCACGCTCACATTCATGGCTATATTTAGAGCCCGAGGAACAACCAATCCTTCAAGTGTCCAGGGTGGCCTGGAGCAGCTAAAGGTGTCACTTCTTCTATCTCTTGACAAGGATGGTAGTCACAGGCAACTCCTCTATTACTGGTTACCTCCCAGCTGCTGAAAAGAGGTCGGCAAAGTTCCTGTGTGCTGGGAACTTGAGTTCCTTCAAGGTTATGCACAATTTTAAGACGTGGCTGACAAGCTGAACTTATTTCAGAGACAGGACTATCTATATTCTGAGTTTTCACAGAAATGATGTAAAAAGTGAGTTGAGAGTTTTGGCAAACCGTATTTTCTTATTCTATATTTGCTACTATGTGTAAAAAATTCAATTTATCAAATATTCCATTTAGGAAAACCACCACCCACACTTCTAACCACTAGGTGTTCTTGAGACAATTATAGAAACTGGATTACTCAGTATCACTTTGATTTCATATTGACAAATACTTCCCATCAGTTTGCATTCTTTTACACATATCCATGTTTTCCTCATAGGTGCTGCTTTGACCCATTTATTTTATGGTAATGTCCAAGGTCTAAGGAGATAACGGCAACCACGTGTGAATAGTTAAGACTCAGACTTGATAGAGGGACATGGTCTCTAGGAATGTACCATATCTGAACGAAGGACACATTTAGAATAAGTCTCAGTAAAAGACATATAAATATGTGAATTTTTACCTATGATGTGGCTCTGAAATACAGAATCTGCAACTGCATCATCTTCATCCTCTTGCAAGTTTTCGTTTGCCTGTTTTACCTGTAAGAAGAAGAAAATGATGCAAGTTCTTATTTGTTTTATTAAAAAGATCGTTTTGCAATCCTCAGAGTAATGATACATTCTATAACAAATATTTGGGCATAGGTGTGAGTGTTTGCATGTATATACATGTCTGAGTATGTACGTATACATATAACATATATTTTTTTATTCCACTTTTCCACACTCCATCATTTGCCTTTATTGCAAGTTTTAATTATAAGAGCTTATTTTCAGACATATAACTTCATCTCTGAAGGAGAGAATTTACAGGGTATCTAATTCTACACACAATTTTAGAGATAACAGCTTTGCTTTTTAATAATTAATAAAATCAGTAACACACGACTGTTAGGAAAAATTAAAGTCTAAGGAGGTATAATTCCTCTAGAGTAAGTGACTTCCACTACCAGTTATTTCAATAGGAATGAAAATATATACTTTAAATATACTTAGATCTCCTGGCCCTTTCCTGGAATGTAACTAAGACGACGATTTTTTTTTTTCATTCTTTCCATAATGAAAGGAGATGACAGTGATGTATGTATGATCAGTGAACTAGAGCAGTGAGTCATTTATCTAGATTTTTTTTTTTTCAGCCAAAACCATTCCCTCTTATATTTCAGTTGGAAGGCCCAGGCGCTTGATTGGGCAGCATCAGATGGAACTCTACACAGAATTTAATGAAGTCCCAGTATTTTACAGATAAGAATTCTGAGGTCTCTTTAAAGTTGGCACGGATGAAGTAAGTGGCAACACTGGCATGAAAGCCCAGGCCCCCTGCTTCCCAATCCAATAGCGGAAGTAAGAGCATTATCAGCAATACCAACCACAAACAACAGTGAACACTTACATACTGGGCAGGCGCTGTTTGCATGTAAGATCTCAAAATCCTTACAACAGTGCTATGAAGCAGGTGCTATGGTTAGCTTTATTTTAAAAGATGAAGACCCATCCCAAAGCAACAGAGAAGGTGATTGTCAAAGTGGTGGCACTGGGATTTAAACACAGCAAATCTGACTCCAGGTTTGTGTTTACTAGGGGGACCTTTGGTATTCTGAAATTTCCACTTGAATATGCCTATGCAGACTTGGACTCAGTATCAAGACAACTTAGGGTTCTGGAGGGAATGGCCCTACATAGCTCTTTTGAAATACATTCCAGGCAGCCAATGAAAACAATGTGCAATAAAATGGGTGTTCTGCTGAGGCACTTACATCAGAGGTTGTCAGTGGATTTGCTACAGGGCTTGAGTTGAATGCCAAGAAATTATTATTTTATACTCTCAATGTAAAAGTCATATGGCTGAACACTGACTTTGAGCTGGATTTAGCTTTCTACTTTTTGCCTCCTATTTTTCATACTTAATGGAATAAGACCAATTATTTACATTTTATGACTGCAGTTTCAATATTAGAATGTAATTGGTGCTTAATCTGTACCATGCTGATAGCCAGAGATGGCAAACTCAAGAGAGTATGTAGACGGCTAACTCAACCCTGGCAAGGAGAGATCGCTAAGGGTTCGGTATCAAGAGGCCATGCTTCATCACTTTCTTTCCCCTTCAGCTGTCTAATCTGTGGGCATTTCCCTGTCGGTTAGCAACTCCACAGGAAGAAAGTCAGAGAATGAAAGAAGGCAGGAAAAAAGGGCTTCATTAACTGACCATGTTCTAGCAGTATATATTTACAGATGGCAGAGAGGAAACGTACTGCGAGTATGAGAAAGACCAAAGCACTACTTATTTGCCTTCCAAGGTTCTCTGCTCAGGGATCTGTTCATGACAAGGTGACCCAAAGGCCCCCAAACACCTTAGTTTCCATTAATAATCCACTGGGAGCCTTTTATCCTACTTTATAGAAACAACAAGGAAATCATATTTTCAGTTTCATATCAGCTCTTAAGGCAGTATGTCCCATATTTCCCCCACCTGTCAATGTAAAATAGTATTTCCTTCAGGTTTTTCTAAATTTATACATTTTAAACTTGCAGGGGTGCCCTCAAAACCTGTTGGACTGTGAGTAAATCATCATCTCTGCCAGCCTGTGAAATTCTAAATGAAAGAATCAAATAATCAGAACAAAGTTTCCATCTTACAGATAAAGAAAAAGGAGGTTCAGAGAGGGTTAATAATCTATTCAAAGCCATACAGAATTTCAGTTATAGAACAAGCACTCCTGATTCCTATTCATTGCTATAATTCAATTTTTCAGAGTGCCCTGTCCAGTTACAGCTGTCCTTTCCAGACCTTCCAAAGAACTACTCTTTGTTAATGTCTACCAGTTAGGTATGAAGGCAATATTCCAAGTATCCATAAACTATATTTTAAGAGTAGTAAACATTTTTCGTGTATATGTGTGTGTGTGTGTGTGTGTGTGTAATTCTCCGCTTCCCTTCCCTACTATTCCCTACCCCTTCTGTGTGCCTTCTCCACCTCCTTTCTCTAATTATCGTATTTAAGAAAGAAAACAAAAGCTACTGCACAGTCCTACCTGTCAGCTCCTTGCCAGAGCCTTTCCAGGGCTTTATGTGCTTAACGGCAAACGCTAAATGTGGCCTCTGGGGACTTATGAGAGGAACTGAGATGGTGAATGAGTCCCCTGGCTCTCTCAGCTCTCCTGGGCTGGATGACCCATGAGGGGCAGATGACTCAGGGGGGGAAACTGTGAACTTGAAGGGAATGGATGAAGAAGCAGCAAGAAAATGGAAAGTGGGGGAGTGCTTTAGAGTGACATACTTGTCAGTTCTAATTATCCATACAAATAGATTTCAATGCAAAGTGGTGAGTAATTAAAAAAAATCCATTTGCCTATGGAAATGAGGGGCATAATTTATTTTGGCAGCAGATTCCCCTTGCTAATTATATTTTTCATAGGATGAAATTTAAATTAATTTTCATTCTTGATCCCATAGGAGCTGGATGTTGGTGGGAAGTTGTGGGAGCTTTCCTGGGAGTAAGAAGGCTGCCAGGTCAAGAATTTGCCAAAAATAGGTACAAGTGGGACAGTCTCCATGCGGGAAAGCACTGCAAAGAATGGGAGAGTGGACCCAAAACCAAGAAGTCTGGCAAGCGTTTGGGTCAGAAAAGACTGGTGGTTAGAAATGCAGAAATGTCCCAGTCATTGCTGCCATCCCAGGAACAGAAACAAGTCCATGTCAGTTATGTCCCATTTGGTAAAAAGTAGAAGGTGACTCACAAGCAACAACTATGGGTTGTTTTTGGTTTAAGTTAGTTGTCAGTGCTTTGGGTGTCTTCTAATGATTCATCTCTAACTCTTGTCCATCTTTTGGGGCTCTGCAGTTCTAGTCTCAGGAACTACTACTCCAAACACCAGTCTATAACAGGCAACAATTAAATATCACTGCACTTCTATTTTATTGAGCTTCCTGTTCCTAGGAAGTTAAATTGAGCTTCCTGTTCCTAGGAAGGGCGGGAAGAAATGTGCTTGTAAGAGACACAAGTGGAAAAGGGGAGAAAATAATTCACCATTGATATAATTTCATAATTAAACCCAGTTTTGAGAACATCCTTCATTTGGAGTTCTATACATCTTTCTTCCCTGAATCACCCTAACACTAACGGCTTCCCAAGAAACCAACATTTCGATGCCAAAGCTCATTTGAAAAGGAAAAGAACATAATGAATCTAAGTGAGACAGGAAATAATCCTGGGAGGGAAAACTCCTGGAAGGCATAACCTTTGGAAAAGCTACTCATTTAGAAAACTTTGCAGGCGGAGGGCAAAATATGCATGCTTCTTATTAGCATCAAAATACCATTTAGAACAGAATTGTTCAATTAAGGATGTTAAAATTATAACATTTCACAGAACTTAATAAGATGATAACAATTTGTGTAATTATTGTACTATTTTCTGCCATTTTATCACCATGGTACCATTTTAATGGGATAGTATTTGATGCTTTTTTATTAGCAGATTTTTTTTTTTTTTAAGACTATGTGACACTGGGTGAAGAGAGTACCAATAATTTAAATTAAAATACCCATACTAAAATGGTCATATTAAAATGGTTCATGATGAAGGTATATGATCTCATTAATTTTGTTAATGATTTTTATTTTTGCCCAGTGATAGTTAACTGGGAGCCTAGAGCTGTCTTTCTTTGAGACTTTTCATTTCAGAAAATTATCTAAATCCACAGGAAGGAAGAACTTAAAACATGTAGCAAGCATAGTGTACCTCTTTTTGACTTATTAACTTAATACCAAAGCAGCCTTTCTAGGAGATGCCTTTTCCTTATTTTGTAATGATTTTGTATAATTTAAATAAAAGTACCAAGTAGCACAGCCCTTGTCTAAATTACACAAAAATTAGAGCTAAGTGGTCTATAAATGATGGCAGAAATGGGGATATAAGCTTCTAATTAAGGCTGTGAAATAAGAAAAAAATTTAATTCAGCCAAACATTAATAGGACTTTTAAACGTATTTTAGAATGTTTCCAGCAATACTAAAAATGAATATGCAGTTACTAGTGAACTAAGTGGAGGTTTGCTACCCATGTGGATTTGTTATATGTATGAAAATAATCTTTCTATTACATATTAGAATACTAAAAATGCCTTAGGACTCTCATAACTATAATCTTCGTTTGTAAAGAACAAAGATGGTGGTATAGTATATCATAAGGTTTTAAACAGTGGTCTTATGTAGGAAAAAAAGTGTGATACGTAATGCAATCCATATAGACATTGTTTTCATCCAAAATAACTGCTATGAAAAAGTTCTTTGCAACACACTTTAAAATAAGCAGAGAGTGAATTTACCTTGAGCCCTAGTGGGGGGAAATTCCCTTCAACTCTTGAATTTTAAAAGGTTCATGGGTATTCACACGAATACCTGTGTGAATGGGCTGTGGTGTTAAAAAAACATCTCATTTTGCATCTAATCTCCTTCCTATATAGGCTTATAACATGTAATAAATGAGTTTTCACTCCTATTCCTGTACTAATCCCAAAGGAGTCTATAGCAATGTCCTTTCTGAAATTAGTAATTTCAGTCCAATCCATGCTGATGATTACGGAGATGAAACAAAAAAGCACTGCATTTTACATTTTAAAAAATGACTAGCTAGTCAACTATCCAGGTTAATGACATTTCTCTGTATGGAAAAGCTTCTCAGCATGACTAATCTGTCTTTCAACTAACTAGAAAAATTATCATATCCCTATTGATTATGTATATGTGGGGTCGTTAGGGAATCTTTGTACTTCACACAAAATAATAAGAGTGTTTCTTGCAGGTATTCTGAAAAGACCAGAGCACCCTGTGAAAGACTGCAGATGAGACAGGAAAAGCATGGCAAATAACTTTAGCATTAGGAAGCAATAAGAAAATAAAAATGAAATCGTGAAAGCCAAACACAAAGTCTTTTTGTTTCTTTGGTACTTCTATACAGTGAAGATATACCCTAAGCTGTCAGGACCATACTAAATGGAGCATAGTTAAATCGAGCACCTCTGATAAGGGGCTCTGCCAGGCTATCAAAGTTTTCCATCAGCTGGATTGAATTTCCAGCATATTGCACATTTTCACACGTTCATTCTCTCCCCTTCCTTTCAGTGACACTACAAGGGCAGCCTCAGATATGCTTATAATTTGTGGTTTTATAATGCAGGGGACATCTATGTTTTCAAAGAAGGGATGATACCATGGAAACCAAGAGCAGAAATGGGATGGGGGAAAGAAAAAAAAAAAACACTTCTGCAACGAACATAATCTGCATACAATTTTGGAGAGTTTGTCAAAAAGACCTTATGGTTCTGTAGAGTCAAGAGCTATTTGAGTAAAAAAATTTAAACATCCACTTCTCTCAAATTAAAGTATGTGAAACTTGAAGGAAATCTAAACATCGATAAATACTTATAGCTAATAATTAATAGCTAATAATGTCAGCCGTGGTCACTTTAAAATCTCCTCTACTCTTGAACGACTCCAGAAAATAATGCAGGGAAATACTGAAAGCTCTCCTTCAGAAAATGGTAGTATATAATATATTTTGATAACCTCTTTATTAGAGTACAAAAAGATATGGATATAGTAATTCCGTAAAGAGAATTTTTTTGTGTGTTTAAGTGCTCTGGAACTTACCAAAAGGAACAATGAATACTATCAAATTATTTACACAAGTACATAAAGAATGTAAGGAGAGTAAGTGCAATTTAAGGTAATTTAAAAAAAAATTAACTGAAACTAGTACACCCCAGGAAAATACAAAAATGCTCCATTTATTTTTTCATTTTTAAAAAGAAGTCTATTCCCTGCATTCTGGACCCCATAATAGGCTAAGTGATAGGGAGCCAAGTTCCAAAAAAACTTTCTTAGTCTTCACAGCTTCTGTCTAAGTTGCATGAATTGGTTCATACAACTTTCATAAAACATAAACAACGCTTAAATCATCAAAATAGGCAATAGTCTCTTAAATTGTTTAGCACTTTTATTTTTAAAATCATGTTTGTTCCTTTTTGGTTGCTGGTGATGTTAGAAATAATCATCAAAACAAATTTCCAGCCCAATGGTGTAATTTGAAGATGATACCGGTAGCATCATTTGCCTGGACTCACCGCGATTATACTCATCATTTTGAAAACAGCTGGGGAAAGCAGCAGCATTTCCTGAGGGCCAGGCCCACTCGAGGTCGAGCTGCCAGCTCTCTGCTGCAGTTGTCCCCAGTATTTCTCTCTCCTTTTACAAATCCTTTTTCACTGACCTTTTCTTTCCCCCAACTGCAATCTCTTACCCACACACTTTGATTAGCAAACGGTAGAAAGACCCCAGCCAGAACATCTCAGACTGTAGCACTTGATACCAGGATGCAGGAGCACTTACCAGGGAGCCTTTCGGTACTTCCATATCGGCTTTGCTTTTCATGTTTTTCTTGTGGTTTCCTTGAGTGCTGAGAGAGCTGCCGGTGAGACAGGAGACCTGAGAACCGCCCTTTAACACATTCCTGCAGGAAGCATTAGTTGATCCACTTTCTGTCTGTGGAGCTGCTTTCTTATCAACTCTGCAGGTAGAAAGTGATTCCTCTCATGAGTTACCTTGCTCCTTCTTCAATCACTCTCCTTTTCCCAATCCTTTTAATATTTAAAGTAATCTCTTTCTAGCTCTTTGTCTTGAAACCTTTGAGGGATAAGTGTTCCTCACAGGCCTTGATCAAATCTTCAAATATTCTAGTAGCGTGTCAATTTAGATGTGACAATATCATAATGTATTTTTTATTTTTATGATTACTGTGGAGAGGGGCAAAATAAAAACCACTGAAGAGTGATTCCTAAATACCTTTTTAGCTTAAGAGTGGCAAGAAACATCATTATTTCTGGAAAGTTTCCAAGTATATGTTTGCTAGGTATAATCAATGAAATCGGCATGCTTTAAAACGTACGTGTAATTTTCTTCCATTTCATGCCATCTGGGTACACTCATAGTTCCTAGTGTAGGTGGAATTTCTATCAACGCTGATAAAACTTACCATTCTTTAATTTCAAAGACCATTGGTTTGGTTAACAAAGTAACATGGACTAAATTATCATTTTATTGCTAACTTTTATTTCATTGTTTAAATTCTGGCTAATGTATAAAAGACTGCTACTATTCATTTCTGCTTGTATGAAAAACATGCTTGACTGGCCTTCAATGCACAGAAAGCAAACAACTCTTTTTAAGGTGGTGGAGGGACCCCTCTACACTGCTACCTGCTTTTCTAGTGAGTTACCTGTTCAAGAGTTCCGTCATGAAGGTGTCTTTTGTTGAACATGTAACAGGGCTGTGTCTATTCCTTGGTTCAAACTTCAGTTGGTTGTAAATGTCTTGTGGTGTTTTCCGATTATTTTTGCTTTGTAAACCGCCATCTGGATTATCTGCTGACTTGGTGTCCTTGACAAGCTCATTTTCTGTCTCGCACTGTAGTTCAGGCTTCTTTTTCTCTTTTTTTCTTTCCGATTTTAGTTGTCTGTTTCCAAACCCCAAGGCTTTTGCATCTTTCTTTTCTACTTTGGTTTTGGAGACGTCCATTTTCCTGCTACTCAGAGCTGGAAGTCGACTCTTCCGAAAACCAAACCAGCTGGCAAAAGAAGGCCCAGGCTTCTGCCTTGCTTCTACAGAGGTGGGCTTTGTTTGCACTTGGCCCTTTTCCACATTTTCCTGAATGCACAACATGACCTTTTCTTCGATTGTGGGTGAGAGGGGGGCTTCTGAACTCACAGCATCAGTCGCAGTTGCAGAGGCATCTGGATGCCTTCCAGAAGTTTCTAGCTTGGATGTACTGCTTGTTTCAAAAGTGCTTGGATGCTGAGTCCTCCCTGGGCTCTGCAGGGCTTCAGGGCAGTCTGTTGGGGTGGGTGGGCACTGGTGGCGGTCACTGCCTGGTTCCGCAAGTATAGCCACACTGGGGCACTCTCCCTGGGTGAAGGCCTGCTGGTTTTCCTTCCCAGGTGGGATGAGGAGTCCCTCAGACTTTGGAGGGACCCTCAGAGGCAACTTGCTTGGGCTCCCATGCTGACTGCTGGAGCTGCCTGAGCTCCCCAGGGAGCCCTGCCTGGAGGAGGGGTGCCCCAAGGGCCTCCCAGCACTAGGGAGACTCTCCAACATGGGAACAGAAGGGGCCTTGTTGGGAGAGCTTTCCATGGAAGAATTCTGCCGGGTAAGAGAATTGCCTCTCTCAGCAGTATTGGTAATGATCTGAGTTCGGACTTTGCCTGGCCCTTCCATGGCGGGTGTGGAAGGCTTGTCTCCTGAGTGCGCACTGAAGCTCTGGCTGCGGGCTTTGGCGCCATTCATGCCCAGAGCTGGTTTTAGGTGTGGTTTGCTGGAGGAAAGCGATCTTTTCATGGACCTATTATCTACCCCATCCCTTCCATCACTCCCAGGGATGCTACTTTCCAATGACTCTTGTAGTGCTGTTTCCAGGGGAAGCCCCTCAGCTAAACTGTCCTGTGCCTGTGAATCCCGTGTGGTCACATTTCTCTCACCTGCTGTGATCTCCATGCTTGCTGGATTCTTGGAGTCCTCTGGCTTAGACTTGTTCACAGCCACAGAACTTTTGGAGGCTTCATTTAAACTGTCTTTTTCATGTTTCCCTGGCACGGTGGAACTTTTCCTGAGCAGCTGGGGAGACTTCATGAGCACCTTGAGTCCCACCGGAAGGCGAGTTTTCAGTCCTTTCTCATGAGCACTTTGACAACCATGAGGGCTGTGATGGCTTTTGGAGGGTGACGAGGACAAAGAGGGACTACTGACCTGAGATGATGGTGACTCGTTTGCCCCTAAGAAGGAAGGCTTGGGGGGTGTGGAGGCGCTATCATTCAACTGTCCTTTTCTCCCTGGAGATACACTTTTGGAGGATGTCATTTCCAGTGGCTCATGGGTTGAAGGAGAAATCCTGGGAGTCTGTAATCCTGTGTCCATTTGTGGGGTCCCAAGTGTTTGGCGAGGAGAGGTTTTTGGGGCACCTCTCTTCGGAGAGACCTTTGGAGGCCCCAGAGCCATTACGGTGAAGGAGCTGGAGGGGGCATGAGCAGGGCATCGGGTTTGAATGACTGCTTCTGGGGAGGGTGTAGGGCAAGTGAAGACAGGCTTTTTGAAGGCCACAGAAGGTTTCTTCCTCTGCACTTCTGTCGTGGCCTGATTAGACGAAATAACCGGAGCAGAGATTCCTTTCAGCAGAGGGGATTTGAACGGGGTCCTTGCTGTTTCACTGAGGACCCTGGTTTCAGACTTGGTGGATGAAGGTGCTGGTGCATAGTCATAGCTGGGCCTGGCCAGCAGGGAGACGGACCTGCCTGGAGGGGGCGGAGGGGAAGGGGATTTCACCCCTGCCTCCGGCCCAGAGCCACCGTGTTCATCCCTCGTGGGGGGCTCTCCGCTGTCGCTAGACCCAATGGCAGGCCTTGACCGTGACCCTGGAGTCTGACTCTTGGGGCAGTGGACCCAGTCCCTCCTGCTGGGCAATCTGTGCGGAAGTTGGGTGGGATGTTTTGGAATGTGTGGATCTGGTCGTAATTCAAAGAGGGGTCCTGAGCTCTCAGTCTTCACGAATCGTGAGAGTTTCCCAGGAACTGAGGCCAGTGATTTTTCAAGAGTCACCAGGCCAGATGAAGGGAGTAGTGTGGAGGCTTCCGGCTCCATTAGTTTTGATTTCTGAGGTGAAGACTTGCCCCTGGCAGGTATTTTTGTGAGATTTTGCTTGTGATAGATGCCCATGGGCGCTGAAGACCTGGAATTACTCTGGCATGATAGCGTGTGTGTGGGCTTGACCGGCTTTTGCTGCTGAGGATTTTGTGTCACTGTCCTGGAGCTGAAAGATTCAGTGGACACCCTGGGAACATTATCTACATTATCTTTTGGAATGTTTTTCTCAGTGTCCTCTTCAGACCTTTTAAAGAAAGTATAGTCTCTTGCAGCAGCTCCTGGCTGTAAACAAGTAATTCCCTGAGGTAAAAGTTCAGCATGTTCTGCCTTGGGTCCAGTAGGAGCTGAATTGATGGAAATTTCATTTCTGGTAACAGTGACAACTCCAGTCTGGTGAGAGCTGAATTCAATGGGCTCGCCATCTTCCGCATCAAATATCACGGTAACACATTCTTCTGAAGAAGTCCTTTTTACAACTCTTTGCTGCTTAATGAAACTAAACGTCTTTGGCCTAGTCTCTGAAGGGATGGGCACTTGTTTTTCCTCCTCATCAGGAGACCCACATAGAGATTTTCCAAACCCTACAAGAACATCCAGGTTCTCCACGGACTTCTCGGTGTCGGCAGCCAGTGACATGTCTGAAGGACTTTTCTCATCACTGCTCTCTATGTGAAGCTCATCGAGTGTTTCATTGTCATCAGTGTCTGAAAGCTGGAGGTTGAGAGCCACGCAGCCATGGCCTTGGCCGTGTGGGCCCCTCTCCCTCTGTACCTGAGGCGTCTGCACACTTGGGCACAGCTTCCTCTCCAAGGGACAGCTGCTGGCGCAACTTGTCAGCTTTTCAGGCTTTTCCCTGGGATAAACTGAGGATGTGCCTTCCAGAATGTGTTTTCTATTTGTTTCCCAGCCAAACAGACTGTCAGAAACACTGTGGGTTAGTTTACTGCCATGCGGCCTGTAGCTCTGGTTTGGAACTGCTTGGAGCAATGCGAAGGTGGAGGAGTCATCGTCTGCATCATCGTGGGAATCTAGATCATAAACAAATGTCTTGTGGGGCTCCTTGCAGGGGCTCCCCAGGTCAGCTGTTTTGCAGGGGGGATACTCCTTGAGGCTGCTACTTTTAATTCCTGGAGAATATATTCCTTCATTCGAGTTCATGCAATCTTTATAACCCCATTTGGTTATCACTGATGGGGGTTCAAGTAACACTTTTCGCTTCTGTAGCTTTCTTAGCCCTTCCAAAATGTGGCTTTCCTTGATACGAGTTGGAGGTAGTTCATTTGTAGGACTAGCAAAGCCACTTGGGAGCGAAGAATCAATACTTAGCCTTTTATCCCAGTTTTGTGATGATTGCTAGGAAAGAAAAGTAGACATCAGAAATGATTAAACCACATAGGACACGCATATATAAAAGGAAAAGTCCATCATGGGACTTAATTTGCACTAGTGGTTGATTAGTATTCACATATAAATGCCTACATTAATTAGCTAATTAATGTATTCACAAACTATGCAGCAAATATTGATTTTGCCAGGTCCTGTGCTAAGCAGCGCAGTGATCTAAAGAAACAGAAGGTAAAGGCCCTGTCTTCATGGAGCAGAAATCCCAGCAGGGGAGAGGAGAATTGGCCACAGCTCACTGTATGTAAGGGAGAAAATGAGAAGTGCAAATGTTGTGGGTACTCTGGAGATTCAGAGGAGGGAGGCCACAGACAGGTCTATTCGGAGAAAGGCATAAAGGAAAGGTACATATTTTTTTCTTTTAAACTTACCTAGCTCTTGAAAGACAGGTTTGCCTTAGGTTAAAAGTGGGGGAAATAACTTCCAGATGGAAGAAATGGGATGGGCAAAGACCTAAGTCGGAAAGTACATTCAAGGTACATTGGGGGAATGACTAGAAAATGACATGACCTTATTGTAGAGTGTCTATGATAGGTGCAGCGGGTAAAGCTGGAAAAGTAAGTTGGTTCATATCTTTACGCTCACATTCGATAGTTCTGTGACTACATGACTTTATTTGGTAGGCGACAGATATCTGTGAAAACTTTCTTAAGTTACCACACACATACACCCACACACACAGCAGCTGGGCACTGGCTGTTAGAACCTGATAGTAATTATTCACCTACCAAATTTAGAAAGGTCAATTCCTTGACCATCACCCTTCCCAAATGCCAGCCTCAGCATTGGAAAAATGTATGGGAAATGACAGAGAGAAAAGACTGTGCTCTACATATTCATTTTTTTTTTCATAGTTTTGCTAATAAGAAATGGAAGGGCGGGAAAAAAAGAAAGCTAACATTTACTGAACCTCTGCTGTAGACCAGCCATTTACAGAGTGCTTTCACTCCATCTTCAGAACAGGCAGCTGAGGCTCATTGTTGGGTCTGTTGGAGATCACACAGAAAGAGCTGGAGCAAAGGTGTGAACTCTGGATTCTCAGGCTCTTTCTACAGCATTGTCGATTTCGACTCAGTTCAAAAGTGGCCATGAGGGGACGTGAACCCAGGCAGTCTGGCCCCAGAGCCTGCAGTCCTAATTGATGCTATACTACTAAAGTCAAGCTTGGCCCCTCTTCTCCCCTTTACCTTAGTCAGTGTCACAATAGAGATCACAGGTTACTCTACACTATTTCTTAAATGGTACTTGCAGAGTTTAGGGGGCTGACCTAGCGACTTCTTAAGAAGGCTGTTTGGGCTGGGCACAGTGGCTCATGCCTGTAATCCCAGCACTTTGGGAGACTGAGGCAGGTGGATCACGAGGTCAGGAGTTCGAGACCAGCCTGACCAACATGGTGAAACCCCACTCTACTAAAAATACAAGAATTAGCTGGGCGTGTTGGCAGATGCCTGTAATCACAGCTACTCGGGAGGCTGAGGCAGGAGAATCGCTTGAACCTGGGAGGTGGAGGTTGCAGTGAGCTGAGATTGCACCATTGCACTCCTTCCCAGGCGACAGGGTGAGACTCCATTTAAAAAAAAAAAAGGCTATATGATTAATGGTAAAGAGCTTCAAGAGAAGGCTCTGGGTTTCAGAAATGCACTCTATACCAGTTTGGCTACATCAGTCTCCTCCCTGCCCCACACACTTATGTGCAGAGGTTGAAAAAAAGGTCAGAAACTTCCATTTGAATCCGGGCTTCTTAGTACACTGTAAACATTTGCTTACATCTAAGGCATTTTCATGAAAATTATTCTTGCTATCAACAATGCACACATTTATTTGTTTTTAAATCAAATTATAATTTTTCTTTAGGAAATTCTCCACCGTCAGAAGTTGCTGGCAGTAGATGCTATTTGGTGATGCTGCCCCACTTCCTCTTCCCTGTACCATTACAAACTCCTTTAGAAATCAGAAGAAGTCCCATTAGTGAATCTGGATATTATAGATCCACCAGAAAGCAGTTGCCACAGTGTGAGTTTCTAAGAATTTCCATGATCCTGATAGTCATGTTGACAATAAATAAGAGAAGCCAGGCCAAAGTACCCCACAAGAGCTTGAAAAATGTGGATGTGTTTGTCCCCCAAGAAGACATGCTCAGCCTCTGCCTTGCCTCCTTTCCGCCATTCGGGAGCCTGCCCAGTGCTGCACTGCGACTTGCCCCAGAGCCAGTGGCTGCAAACCTCCCAGGGCCCAGGCTGTCTGCCCGGTGAGATCAGCCACATTCCTCCTTCAGTCCTCCACAGGAGGTTATAGTATTTAATAGCTGGAGAAAAGCCTAGGCCAATCTTGAAGCTTGGGGGTGAGAGACACATGAATGCCCTGTGGGAGTGATGGTGGGGAGGAGCTGGCACTTCCCATAGGCAGATCCATCCTTTGCTGCGAAAGTTGGAAGAGAGTTGCTCTTGGGAAGCAATGTGGCCGACTAAAAGATGCTGTTGCTGAGGTTGGGGCCTGTGTTTAATGTCCACAGTCCTCTTCCATTTCTTGACTGGACAAGAATCTTACACATTTTTTTTTCTAAAGGGCTTCTTGGTCTCAATGGGAGCAAACCAATCTCAATCACTGAAGCAACCTCACCACGTTTCAGGCTGATTCAACAAGGCCAGTATAAAAGAACAATTAAGAATGTGGGTTCTGGAACCTTCTGGAGCCTGCCTCTGCCATGTACTGCCTGTGGCATCTTGGGCCAGTTACTTAACTTCTTCGCACCTCAGTGTTGTCTTCTGTGAAATGGGGAGAATAGGAGAGCCTACTTAGTAGGCGACTGGGAGCATTACATGATCTAATGCTTCTGAAGTCCTTAAAAAGCCGTGCTACATATGGTAATTTCTTATCAACTAGAGCCAAATTCCTCTGTAGGGCAGGCTAGTGCATTTCATGCAGGCTTCCTTTCTGTTTCTACACAAGTATTTGAAAAAACATACTTGTGAACTCAAAAAGCGCAATCAATCATATGTTAATCGTTACATAAGTTACTACACAAATTCATATTAATATGATACATGTTTATTATGTAAGTTAATACTACATGAGCATCCAGCACAAAGTAAGAAACTGCAGAACTTTCTTAAGTAATACACATTTCAAATGTCTTTATGAATCTGGGTCTGGCTTGTTAGGTCCCTGAGAAACAAGACTGTTCACTGTGAGATGTGACAGGTGTCCTGGTACTCCATGACCATGGCAGAGCCCTATTAAGGATCCAGAAAAGAGCCACCTGACTGTCCATGAAGTGCCTTAAAAACCTTCTTTTTCCTCATTCAGGGGAGAGATTGCCTTAGAACATCAAAAGCTACTGTAATTGGAAGAATTCCAGCCAAAAAAATAAAAGAAAGTGAAAAGCCTTTGAGAGGCAGAGAGAAAAAGAGGTGTGAAAGTGAAAAGAACAGAGCTAGGGGCTCTGGGAGCCAGCGATATTCACAAAGCGAGGAAACATCCCTGACCATCTTTCCAGTCTGTTCTGAACCAGGCTCTGAGCAGTCATTATTCAGAGCACCTAACAACTCCTTAGAGGGGGCAATTTTGATAATGCAGCAGGCTCCGTACTTTGCATTGGAAGTCTGAGTACAAGGGAAGAAGCCCTAAATGCAAACGTGAAATCTTCTGAGTTCTTGTTCAGAGGATGACAAAGCTACTCCCTCATCAATATCTCCTGGGAGTTCTGGATTTTCTTGGTTTCTACACTGCTAAAACCATGAACTAAATGTATACAAATGGTAGAAAAATGACCTCCAAATACACTGATCCAGGGTTTCCATTCTCGTGTGCTCTTTCCTTTTCTCCAACATTAGGGAATGGATAAAACAGCTATTTCAAATATTTCCCTTACATCAGTGTACAAAGAAGTCTATTCAGAGCACGAAGGAATCTCCAGCTCTGCAAGCCCACTGTGCAGATGGGAGTCATTCTAGTAGTAGTAATTATTAAAAATCCTGGTAAAGGAACTCTTGGCATGTATATAAGTAGAAATATGCCTACCTACACTGAAGTTGTGGCCTCTGTCATCTCACCATGCTGCCTCCAATTTATAGTCAAATAGTGTTTTACGAGGCTATGGCACTGATGAAAGGAGGTCAATATAATACATGAGCAGGTGCTCCGCAAATGGTGGCTTCCTTCTTACCTCTCCCACCTGCCCTTCACCTCCATGACCAAATCCCACCAGAAGAGGATTCTCTTCTGGTTCAGTCTGATGCCACAGTGCTTAAAAGGAGGCCTTACCCTTTTCCTGAGGTTCTTCCCATCGTGCCATGTGTAGGAGGAGCCACTGGAGTACTCGCTGCAGGTGCTTGAAAGAGACAGTTCACTGCTGCTGCTGTAGCTGTTTCGAGGACAGAGATGACCAGGGATGACAGCCCCCAAGCCAGGGCATTTCAAGGCTGATTTTGTATTTAGCTGGTGTTCCTGAAAAAGCAGGACAGCTCTGAGCAAGGGCTTTGCTCAGAGGAGAGTAAATATCAACACAACCTTATGGTGATGTAGGTGGGAATACAGATGCTCCTCAACTCATGGCAGGAGTACATCCCGATAAACCATGGTAAGTGGAAAATCAGCTGAGAATGTACTCAATACACCTAACCCACAGAATATCATAGCTCAGCCCTGCCTACACTTACATTAGCCTACCATTGGGCAAAGTCATCTAACACAAAGCATATTTTATAATAAACTGTTAAATATCTCATGTAATTTATTGAATACTGTGCTGAAAATGAACATCAGAATGGTTGTATGGGTGCTCCCAGTACAGTGTCTACTGAATTTGGCTCCATCACAAAGTTAAAAAATCCCGTTGAACTACCCTAAACTACAGATTGTCTGTATAGTATGTTATGATAGTTAGGGGCAGACTTTGCAGTCAAATTATAGGCTCAGATCCTGGCTCTGCCTCTCACTGTGTGGCTATGGGGAAACTATTTATTCTCTTTCTTTCTTAAAAGAAAATCGTGATGTTAGGGTGTCAATTTTAGATCTTTTCTGCTTTCTCTTGTGGGTATTTAGTGCTATCAATTTCCTTCTACACACTGCTTTAAATGTGTCCCAGAGATTCTGGTATGGAGGGGGGAGGGATAGCATTAGGAGATATACCTAATGTAAATGACGAGTTAATGGGTGCAGCACACCAACATGGCACATGTATACATATGTAACAAACCTGCACATTGTACACATGTACCCTAGAACATAAAGTATAATAAAAAAATAGAAAGCTTAAAAAATAAAGAAAGAAAAAAGAAAATCATGATACTACTGCTTATCTTATAGGGTTACTGCATGGACTAAATGAGGGTCTAGTTGTGAAGCACATCACAGCATCTGGCCTATAGTAGGTGCTCAATTATTACAAGCTGCCATCATTATTAGGCAAAAGTACCACAAGGGTGTTCTTATTTTATCTAGCCATACTGGTGAGAATATCAAATCAGTATCAAAACACGATTCGAATGCTACAAAAGGACGAAGATAGAGTCACATCTTTGACTACGGGGTTCAAGAGCATGCAAACTGGCTGTGAGTCTAGTGGTCTGGATCCTGGGCTAGCCACTGGCACTAAGCATGCACTCTTGAGCAAGGAAGACTTCTAACTTCCATGGTCTTCAATATTCTCTTTATAGAGGGTGCTGCTCTTTGAGATTTCTGCTATGGTTTCCTCTGGTTCTGATGGCATCATTCTAAGTCAACAACCAGATGCCCATTGCCTATCTGTGCTACCTCACAGGAAGCCATCCACAGCAAACACCAAACTCAGGTATCATGAGCCTCCACTGTAAATATAATAGTGCTTTCTATATCCAATCCTGGTTACCATTTGGCCATCCACATGGCAATAACCCTAACATCAAATAGATCTGGGTTCTTGGTGGAAGGTTCAGGCTGTTAGAATTCTAGTGGTTCTGCATAAGGCAAGAGTGACAAAGTTGTAAACCTCCGAGCACATCTTGACAGCCACATTATAGGCCCCTCGTGTAACAGATGAAGCTCTACAAACTGGACAGGCTAAATTAATTTACATCCCAACCACTGAGAACAGAATCTCTCTATTACCGTCTAATTCCAGTCTCCTATTTATATAACGCTTTGTCTCAGAAACTCTTTGATGGGAAGCCATCTGTCTTTGTGTCACTTGCAGAGTGGCAAAGCCTCTTACTTATACAATTTATTGACACTTTGTGGGTGCCTTTCAGTACCTGAGTACTTATCACTGTTCTCCAAATGCAATTCCAACTGACGGTGACTAAACGCCAGCTTGTGGAAGGAAGGTAATGATGATCCTACGGTACTTGCGGTAAATATTAAACTCCTACATCAGTATATAGGGCATGTTTAATTTACTCTCTAATCAATATCTATAATGCTTAATAACATTAGATTTTCAGTATTAGGCATCTGCCTTACTATCAATACTTCATTTTTGCTGCAAAACAATCTCTTTAAGTGATCTAAAAATGCCAAGACATTTTACTATCCTACTTCTTCCCCCTGAAATTTGGCTCTAAACATCACCGAAAGGAGAAACTTGTCTTAAAACCAGGCTTTCAGCAATATCTATTGATTTATGACCTTGCTTATTGCCGGATGTAACTTAGTTAAGGGGAGTTCATATCTGTATCTCCACAGATGCCCACAACCAGCGGTTGTGCCGCAGGGCAGCAACTGCCATTTCAGCCTCAGCCACGGTCGGCACCTGGAATGTGCACTGAGCAAACTTTCAGAAAGAGCTCATCAGGCTCCACTTCTACTGTATGCTTTCCGTTTTCTCCATTCTGTCCTCTCATATTTTGTTGTTTAAGTAAGCAGCGTGGTGGCTGCTATTTAGGACTGCCTCTGCTCTGACAGACGTGTCTACTCTCCAGAGAGAGAGAGAGAGACTGTGTCTGCTGTCCCACCAGGCTGCACAGATCCAAACTCCAATTGCCTTTCTGCACTCTGCCTGGCTTTTGGTTACAGTTTACATTCTGCCTTCTCCCAATGTATTGAGGGAGGCTTGCATGCAATTCTCTCTTATCTTCCCGCCTGTTCTTCCTACTACATGTATTAAAATTATATCTATTTTTACAACTCAATTTCCAGGTCTCTTTTAATGAATAAGCAGCCTTGCCCACTCGTGCCCATGTGTATACCTCCTGTATAGACGTTGCGTAAGATGACAGGAAACTAGGACTCAGAAGATGGGCTGGGGTGAGAAGGAATTGTTGCTTCTTCCTTGGCCTTGAACTTGAGATGCCCTGATTTTTTTCTTTTTCTTAGATGGAGTTTAGCTCTTGTTGCCCAGGCTGGAGTGCAATGGCATGATCTCAGCTCACCGCAACCTCTGCCTTGCCTCCCAGGTTCAAGTGATTCTCCTGCCTCAGCCTCCCAAGTAGCTGGCATTACAGGCATGAGCCACCATGCCTGGCTAATTTTGTATTTTTAGTAGAGACAGGGTTTCTCCATGTTGGTCAGGCTAGTCTCAAACCCCCAAATAAGGTGGATGATCCACTCAAAGTGCTGGGATTACAGGTGTGAGCCACTGCGCCCAGCTGAGATGCCCTGATGTGATGGCAGATGCTTGAGGGAGGTGGAGAAGGCCTGTGAATGTCATGTGGGAGCAGGCAGGGGCAAGGATGCTTAAGCAGAGAGGTGTCCTCTAAGACAGGCTTTTCACACTTTAATGTGAACTAAATCACCAAGGGATCTTGTTAAAATGCAGATTCTGAATCAGTAATTCTGAGGTAGGACCTGAGATGTATGTAGCATTTTTAACAAGTTCCCAGGTGCTTCAATGCTGCTATTCTGTGACCAGGGCTTTGTGTAGCAAGCCTCTAGGAGAAGCTATTAAAGAAGTATGTCTCTTGTGTGGATTCCCCAGCAGCATGTTGTGCTACCTCACAGTCTGACATGGGCTGTGCTAAGCCAGACAAAAGGAATGGTTGAATCTGCCTGCTGGCAGGCACGTGAGTTAGGGAGAGTGTCTGTGTACGTGTATGTGTAGTGGTGGTTACAGGGTAATTCCTTGCAAAGAAGAGGCGGCGGCCACTCCTTTCTACTGGGAAATTCTCACACCTTCCTACACTTTGGAAGATCAATGTTTGAATTTAAATAAGGGATGCAGAATCCCTGACATCCTGGCTGCAAAGTGAGCTCTTTTTTTCCTCCAGTTTCCTTCATCAGCATGTGATTGTCACATAGGATTATCTACTCCAGTGAATAACTGCTCTGTGGTTGAGCACTGGAACTCCAAGGCCATTTATGAGGTTTAAATTCTAGCTTTCACTTGCTAGCTCTTTGAGCTTGGGAAAATTACTGAACCCCTCTGTGACTCAGTTTCTTTCTTTGTAAATGGAGATAATGAAAGTAGCTACTATATGGGATCATTGTGACGACCGAACAGCCCCTGACAAATGCTAATGCTTAGGGACTTTTACATGGGTTTTGCTGCTATTATTAAAAATGTTTATATATATATGTATTTATACATATACATACATATATACGCACACATACATATATAAAAACATTTATATATATATTATATATATTTTTATATTGTATATTTATATATACACATACATACACAATATATAATATATATTTATATATTGTATATTATAAATACATATATAACATGAAATATATATGTATATATACATACATACATATATACATATAGAGAGAGAGAGAGAAAGAGAGAGAGAGAGAGAGAGAGAGAGAGGCTGGGTGCAGTGGCTTACACCTGTAATCCCAGCACTTTGGGAGGCTGAGGTGGGTGGATTGCCTGAGGTCAGGAGTTTGAGACCAGTCTGGCCAACATGGTGAAATCCCGTCTCTACTAAAAAATACAAAAAAATTAGCCAGGCGTGGTAGCGTGCACCTGTAATCCCAGCTACCTGGGAGGCTGAGGCAGGGGAATTGCTCGAACCAGGGAGGTGGGGGTTGCAGTGAGCTGAGATCACACCACCGTACTCCAGCCTGGGCAACAAAGTGAGATTTCATCTCAACAACAACTATATATATATACACACACACACACAAACACATACATGTGTCTTGGCTCTTCAACTAAGCCATCAGTGAGTTCATGGTCTCCCTACGGGACCCTGTTTTACACTTCCTGATATCCTATCATTTCCTGATGCCTGGTGCCTAAGTAGTAACTACATTAGGCAATAGCCAAAAGTGGATGGACTTCGTTACCAGAGATCACCGATGTGAGCTTCTGGATCCTGGAGAGACATATTAGTAGAGCCCTTTCTCAGTGATCATTTCTACCTTTGCTGTGGTTTGCTGTGGGTGTGGCATGGTACCACATATTAAGAGAACTGAAGAGGGCCAAAGGGACAGAGATCTTATGATTGTTGCAATATTGTTAGCAGGCACTGTGTACACACATTTCCTGTGTTATCTCATTTAATCCTCGCCACAACTCTCTGAAATAGAAATATCATTATCCTCATTTTCTAAAAGGGAAGACTGAGGCATTGAGGTTTTCATAACTTGCCCAAGTTGCCCTGTCAATATACCATTCTGATGCCCTGCCCAAGTCCAAGCCATCATGCCATGATGCCAAGTGAGCCCTCTGGCAATGAGCAGAGCTCCCAGAGATACACAGAACCCCATGAATCCCAGCGAGTTATCATCAGTAATAGTGATTCTTCTTAAAATTCTTCATAAAAAATGTGTATTAGCTTCTCTTGCAACATTATCTTAATTATGTTGATTTAACAGGCAAAAATACAACCTGTCTTCTGCACTATCCAAAGTGTATTTTTCTCATTGTTTATTTTTAGATTACTACCCTGAATGATTCATATACTTTAAACATTCTTACTGTGAGAAATGCTGTAGAAAATCTACAATTTTAGTTAAAAAATAGAGATAAAGAATGAAGCTGGCCGGGTGCAGTGGCTCATGCATGTAATCCCAACACTTTGGGAGGCCGAGGCAGGCAGATCACAAGGTCAGGAGTTCAAGACCAGCCTGACCAACATGGTGAAACCCCGTTTCTACTAAAAATACAAAAATTAGCTGGGTGTGGTGGTGGGCACCTGTAATCCCAGCTACTCAGGAGGCTGAGGCAGAAGAATCGTTTGAACCCAGGAGGCGGAGGTTGCAGTGAGCTGAGATCGTGCCATTGCACTCCAGCCAAGGCAATAGAGTGAGACCCCATCTCAAAAAAAAAAAAAAAAAAAAATTAAGCCCAGGGTTTCATTCTTCCCATTTTTAAATAAAAACTCCACACTTAAAAAACAAAACAAAACAAAACAAAACAAAACAACAACAACAAAAAAAACTCTTGACCTTAAGGCTATATTATAGATTGGATGCCATTAACTCTTTATAAATGTTTAAAGTGACAACATTCCACTGAAATTCAATTCAAATCTAACTTGAGAATATTTTCATTTAATGGTCTATCTACGCTGATAGAATTATTCAGTAAAATAAAAAAAACAGTGATCCACAAATGTTCATGTCATTGTTTTAAGCCTTACACTTTTCATTATATATTTATTTGGCAATTGTGTTTTTTCAAGTTACTCCTTGTATGTCAATGAGAGTTCAAAAGCCATGCTGGTTAAAGTTTTGCCAAATAAGCACAAAGCTAACCCCAGCGAGAGGAAAAAAATGCAGAGCCCATGAATTTTTAAAAGTTCATACATAATATATCATAAAAGTAGGATGAATAATATGGGATGTGGGTTTTAATAAAAAGCTCCTTGACCATTTCTCAGAGACTCTGAGATATAATCAATATCCAAAAAAGGTGTCTTGGGGACAAAACCAAGATTTATGATATTTCTGTGGAGAATGACACTTTCTGCTTACTATATCAGCTGGGGGACATGATATTGAATTTCAGAGAACACAAGAAAGGAAGGTATTTTTATCTGCCTGACAATGCTTCAAGGATGTGCTTTATGGTTCGCTTGTGACATCATAGTTGATGGAAGGAAAATAACAACCGAAACAAGTGTTCTGAAGGCAACTGGGAAACTCACGTGCAGCTCAGCATCAGTTCGTGACTGTGTCAGACTTCGGCTTCTTTCCACCTCTGAAAGCAAATCTCCGGATGAAAGATCCAAAAGGCGTGAGTGAAGTTTCTAGGTAAAATCAAGCAGAAACATTAAATAGCGATAATTTAATTACTTGTTTCAAAATCCTGCCTTGAACAGTTAAATCTCAAAAGAGTTGGCATTTCCAAATTAGATAACACATGTCCTAATTTGAAAAAGTTTATTCTAGTTTATCAGTGTTCCATACACGTATATGTATGTGCATATGCAAATTACATTTTGTAAACAATAATCATGCTTTTACAGCCTGTCAGTCTGCCTTGGAAGATACGTAGTAGAAAAATATAAGTAGTGGTTAAAAAATAAGCAGTAGGAAAACTATGAATACTCTGATGTATTTATTGGGTAGTATGAAAATTAACATTTGATATTCACATTAAGAAAACCAATCACCAAGTTCACCTTATTATGTTGAGCAGTGGTTAAAATCTGAGCAGATAATTATAAAAGTGACCTTATTTCTAAACAGCATTGATCTTGTGAAATCTTCCCTTGGACACATTTTAGCTCAAAGTCATTAATGTCATCTGTTAGGAACAATTAATGTGAATAGAAAATAATTGCATTGGGGACCTGGGGACTCTGAGGATTTTGTACATTAATATTCACGTGCTATTCAATGATATACTGAATTCTTTATTTCAGTTTTGTTTGGGAGGCCTGCTAAGCCAGAGACATTTCACTGTATTAATCTTGATACTAATTACTAAGGCTTTTCTGTGGACATTAAATTTGATCTGTTTAATTGCAAATACGATAAAACTCGTGATTTATGCCTAATGTTTCTGCTAGGCGATGACATTTTGAAAATGGCACTTATAGCCTGGCTTGTCTTGGTTACAACTTTTGTGGCTCCAGATGCTAAAAAAATCTAATTGAGTAAGTAAATAATGCGGCTAAGCGTGCCTCTCTCACTTCTGAAAAGTTTTTTCTACTTTTTCCCCCTGGAGAGGCCCTGCTGCACACTGATGCTGATCTAAGAAATGCCTTTGCTTCTTTGCCACTAAGCAATGTTAGAATCATCTTAGAGGGCAGAGCTGTCCCACAGGTCACTCTGTCCCAGCATATCTACCATGTAGTCAGCAGGGACTACAAACTCCACTAAAATGAGCCACATTCTCTCTGTTCCCCATTCGACCCTCTTTAGGCTGAACTTCTGTGAGAGCCCTGAGTACTTGGTTACTTGATTATTCAACAAACATGTATGCAGCTCCTCCTGAAGGATGGCATTGTGACAGGGCTGCATTCTATCCTCCTGCAAGTGTAAAGGTATTTTTTTGCTGTTGTGGGTTGGCCAGTTCTCCTTCTCAGTGGACCTTCCATTTGTGTGTCTGTGGAGGTCCTTTCACAAAAAAAGAAAATAATTTCTACACTGATTGCCTGTTGCTTTGAAAATCCAAATTTCTTCAGCAGAGCTAAGACCTCCATAGGTAACCAAAACCATGACATTGTTTCTGGACAGTTTTTAGAATCCTAATCCTATAATCTTCAAGCTCTAGAATCTGACTTTCCTGGGGGCAAAGATAGAATTTATCTCATCTTGTAATCTCTGGGACCTGACAAAATGCATCATACTTAGTAAGCAGCCCATTAGTGCTTGTTGTAGTCTATAAACAAAAAGACGTCTTTATATTTGACTCACCCATATATAAGTTTTAAAGATTGAGAGAGTGCCAAAAGAATTTCAATGTTGTGAGACCTAAGAGTACATTTATCAATATGCAAACAGGACAAGAAGTTATGGGAAATGACATTCAACAAAAGAAATGATTTTGAGTGGTATATCATGTGATTTGAGAGAAGAGGCCTCAATGGATTAGCTATCTGACTTATTCAGTTCATGAATGCACTTCATTATTACTTCTCAGATACATGATGTCACGCTTTCACCTACTGCATGCATATATGCATCTAAAGCCCTGCCCTCCTCAAGGCTGTTTCAGTGGCTTTTATCCAAATGAGTCCCTTCCCTTCACTAAAATAGGGAAGGTCTGCATGGGAGAAAGGAGAGGTCCTGGGGCAAGGGCCAGGAGACCTGAGTTCTAGCCCTGTTGAAGGTATACATTCTACAGGATCTCAGGAATGTAACTGAACCTCTTAGTCTCAGATCCCTCATCTGCGAAAGAAAGATAGAAAAACTTAAACCAGAGCTACCATTTGATTCTTCGGTCCATTACTAGGTACATACCCAAGGGAAAATCAATCATTCTACCAAAAAGATACAAGCACATACATGTTCATTGCCACGCTATTTACAGTAGCAAAGACATGGAATCAACCTAGGTGCTAATAAGTAGTGGATTGGATAAAGAAATACGGTACATATATACCACAGAATACAGCCATAAAGAAGAATGAAATCATGTCCTCTGCAGCAACATGAATCCAGCTAGAGGAGGCCACAATCCCATGTGAATTAATTCAGAAACAGAAAACCAAATACTGCATGTTCTCCCTTACAAGTGGAAGCTAGACACTGAGCACACATGGACATAAACATGGGAACAACAGACCCTGCAGACTAATAGATGGGGGGAAAGAAAGGAGGGAATGGGTTAAAAAACTACTTAGTAGATACTGTGCTCACTACCTGAGTGAAGGGACCTGTATCCAAAACGCAGCATCATGCTATACACCCATGGAACAAACCTGCACATGTGCCCCCTGAATCTAAAATAAAAGGTGAAGTTAAATAAAATTCCTAACAAAGTCACAACATCCAATGACAGAATTATAGGCATCAATAAGTGTATATTTTCAGAAAAAAGAAAGACAGAAGTGGCTATTTAATCCACTACCACAGGTAGAGAGAGGCACTGTCATAGTAAGAAGGGAAAACAAATAGGATAATATGCTAAAATTCACACAGGTTAGTTTATTGTTATACCTGACAGTTGATGGTAGGTAATTTCTTAGATAATAAGGCACAAATGAATCATTCATTGTTATAGTTTTCATACATATAAGGCAAATAAAAATTGACTTAGAAGAAAATAAAATCTGTTTACATTTTTTAAAAAACCATTTACATTTTTAATTATTATTTTATGTTTAAAAATTTTTAATTATTATGGGTACAAAATAGTTGTTTATATTTATAGAGGTGCATGTGATGTTTTATACAGGTATACAATGTATAATGATCCAATCAGGGTAACTGGATTACCTATCATCTTAAGCATAATAAAATCTACTTTTGTGTTAAGGCTATAGGCAAAGAAATGATAGGTAAATATCACACAACTTCACACAACTTCCCTTAAATAACTATGAAAGCACACAATGCCATAGAGACTACATTTCTTATGATAAGAATTTTTAAAATAGGCTTATATTTTCATCATATACATATAATACACAGGCGTGTGTGTGTATAGCATCACTTTGTATATTGATGTTATATTACTGGTGCTTCAGTGAAAAATAGGTAGAATGTATACATGAGAAATTTAATTAAATCACTGTCAAAAAGAGCATAACTGACATAAGAAGGCCATGACCTCTTAAGAGGTGCTCCCCAGCTTAGAGGGCAAATTCTCCATCACATACCCATGTATAGTTCATATTTACTGTTAGTGTTCATCTGAATAAAATCTCATCGGAAATACTTTAAACTTCCTATCTTTAATCTGCATCTCCCAATGAATTCTGGAGTTAGACATACTTGGTTTGTTTTAGGCATGAAAAGTAGCAGGACTACTCAGCATGGGTTTGAAATAGGCCTTGCGTCACCTGTCACACTGTGTCAGTAACTGAGATTCAACTGGGTTTCGGAGATAGAGACTCCGAATTTCACACACTTTCAAACCAAAGGTAAGCGAGGGATATTTTTACTCAGATGCTTCCTTTGACGGTGATGGTCTAACCCTCCCTGTCAGACTGGCTTCAGTCTCTGGAATGTGCCCCTCCCCCATCTGAGTTGATCTCTGGTCCATTTTTCCATGGCACACCCTCCTCCTCCTGCCCCTAGATCCTGTCCAGTATTCAGGACGACACTGAAACCCTCCCTGTAAAGTCATCTATCCTCTCTAACCCACAGTGGATTCCCTGCCTTGAGGGATTGGACCGCCTCTCATCTCGGTCCTTTATCCAAAGTACACTCTTACTGAGTTGTTCTCTGTGTAGGTTCTATCTTCCTAACAGGATGATCAGCTCCGGGAAAATGCAGGCCAATCCCTTAATTTCTACATTGTCCCAGTGGCAGGGACGAGCTGGGTGTCACAAAACCTCGGAAACCTTGGCCCTCTTCTTTCTGGGTGCATGGCTGGCCTGCATTTCCCAGCCTCCTTTACAGTCAGGTGTGCCCACATGACATATTTAGTTCTAGGTCATGGAGCCTGAGCAAAAGTGACATCTGTCCTTTCTTGCCGGGCCCAGGAATACCTCCCTCAAATAGTCTTCCATGCTCTTTATCCTCCCACTGGCTTGATGCAGCCAACTCAGCACAGCAACCTTGGAAGCCACTTGTTGAAGATGAAGCCAACCAGGTATAAGGAGTTTGGCTTCTTAAAGTCTCAACTGGAAGAAAGCTACTCTGGGAAAAGAAACAGTCTTTTTGGAGTTGACACGAGGAAGATATCAACTTATACTGAATTTGGGCCATGATTCATTTGGAGTTTGTTGTTATTGCTGACATTGACCTGGCTGACACAGCTCTCTCTGTAGCCTACAGGATAGCCACTCAAGAAATATGCATGTTTCTATGTATATATTTCATATGTGTACATATGTGCACACAAATGTACCGATATACAGGTGTTTACACATGGATATGTAGTGCCCACGTCAACAGCCCAAGGTGACACCCCCACCGAAGATTCTAGCTTCACAGGAAAGAGACTTGCTTTCTGTCACTATATGCAAGGGCAGGGGTCAGGAGATCGTGTGAAGAGCTACGATGTGTCACAATTTATAACAGAACGCATGGCTCATACAGGTGCAAAATACCAAGCTAAGCTTTGGGGACCTGACAATGCCAGCGCAGTCAGTGCCTGAACCACACATTGGGTGGGTAATATTTGGTGGGT